ATATATATATACAGTAATCCCTCGCTATTTCGCGGTTCGTTTATCGCAGACTCGCTCTATCCAGGTTTTTCAAAATAAGATAGGACATGACGCACAATTGCCTGATTTATGGATGAGCTGCACTATAGGCATGACATTTTTATTTAAAATAAATTATTTTTAATTATTTAGCACCTGCTGCACATGTGTACAACCCACATTGCAGGATTAACTTCCTGCGTCAGCTGATCAGCTGCTCACCATGCAGAGTGGAGAAGTGGGCGTGGCCAAGAGCGCTTGCAGGTGGCAAAGAGCAGAGGAGGCAGGGAGATGAGATCATGACATTCTGTGCTCTTGTAGAGCATTTAGAGTTTAGAAACATTGCTTGGAATATTGCAAGAGTGTGGGTAGGGTTTAAAACACCTTTATACATACACATATATATATACACACACACACACACATATATATATATATATGGACAGGAACTGTTATTTCATTGATTTGAATCCAGAACACAAATTATCTCATCAAGAGACTATTTAATTGTATCCTGAATTAATCAATTGAAAGAACACTCTTCTTTTTTTATATTATCATTACTATTTTACAATATCTTGATAATCAAAAGTGTGTTCAGTTCATACGATTTCTAATGTTGAAAGTAAGCCACTCATTTAAATCAACTGTGAAACAGTATTAATGATTTTTAAATCTCATTAGACTTAGATCATACGAGTTAAATGTCTATTTACAAAGTAATTGCGCATTTTACTCTTCTGTCTGAATGAGGAGTGGAGTGTTGATGTCTGTCAAAAGTCAGAGAACAAGTTATGAGAACGAAGTGCCTTGTTTTAAAACTCTCAGACAGTAAATAAGAAACTGGCACGCCTGCAAGTCTCTCACTTCTTCAAAATATTTTTTTGTCTGTTACTCACCGTTCTTAAAAACATGTCTGCTGTCTGTGACTTCTAATAACCCTCTGACATAACTTAAACTCCACCCCTGCTGGTTGTGTTAACCAATTAGGAAGTACCAAGTAACAGGAAGTGGATACCCTTTAAAAGTCAACACTTCTTGGAACTATTCAGTCTTACTGGAGTTCTTACTGGAAGTCGGACTGGAACTTTCAGTCTTAATGGACTCAGTCTTACTGGAGTCTTGCTGGGACTGCAGTCTTGCTGGAGTCTTACAGCTGAACTAAATAGCTGATGGAATTTGACCATGAGCCAAGGGTCCATCCATTTCAGCGAAGTCACAGCATGCCTCGCTGTGATCTCACCCCAAGCATTAAATGCTCTCAACTTCTAAGGAAGCTTATTCTGTTGAACGGAATACTGTCACTACTTCGGACGATTCTCAGCCACCCTGACCGGTGTAGTATGTCAGGACAGCTGTTGCTGTGGACATCCTATTAATTAATTATTCTTAAGGCTAGTTCAAGCACAAAGAATATTAATTGTTTAATTAACAATGGATTCTTTCTTTTTTGAGTTAAATTTCTGCCATGTGACCAAGATAACTTGAGAGTGGAGTGTATAATTAGTGACATGAGACGTCATTTATCTTTGAACCATCAGAATAAATGCGGTCATTTATTTAACAGAATCAAAATTTTCCATCAAACATGTACACTTGATTAGCTGATCTGTTTCTGATTAATAAACTTAACATGTTCAAATAACAAGACAACAGAGGATTACTGATGGAGAATAATTCATCTCTGAAGGCATTTAGCTTCTTAGCATTTAGCATTTAGCCTCTTACTGGCGAAGAGGTTTATAGAGAAGGAGTAAAGAAGTTTAGGAGGAGGATTAAGATTGATGAAGGAAAATGTGTTGATGTGAGTTCACAGCGAGGCGTGCTGTGACTCCCCCCCCCCCCCCCCCCGAATAGGATCGTTAGAGTAGGTTCGGCTTGAGAGTCGTGAGACCAATGTAGGTTATGGTACTTAAGGTAGCATTAATCTATACTGACTCCTCAAAGATTGTAGTTTAACAAATGAATTGCATGTTGACATAGTTAAAGTCCTCATAGTCTCTAACTAAAGTACACACAAAATTCATTCTTGCTGGGGGTGTTCAGAAACAATACCAAACCAAATAAACAATGTCTCAACATCGACAACAGTAGTGACCAAGCAACTAGAAAACAACATTTCACTGCGTCACTCACTCTGATTGTCAGATTCGATCACGTTATCGCTTCTGAGTTGTTATCTTAACACTTAATTAATTTTAGACTTATTTAGTTTCTGCATGGACAACCCTTTTTCCCACGAGGTCTGAGTTTGTGAGATCTTTGTCTCCTGTGGAGTTATTGAACGCCTTGTGTAGTTTGATCTGGTTTCGATGTACCCATTTAACAATTGGCTCTTTTTGGCTTTTGCTGATTTTGATCTGGTAGACAACTGGAGACAGTTTGTCTGTTATCAGGTGGGGTCCAGTCCACCTGGGCATCAGTTTGTGGGCGAGAGTTCCGGTCCCGGACTCTCCTTTCCCGGTTGTGGGGGCGAACGTGTAGTACCAGACCCTATCTCCCTCTTGGAGTTCCTCGTGAGAGGCCTTTTGGTCATAGTACGCCTTTCGTCCTTCAATGGATTTTTCCAGGTTTCTCTGGGCAAAAGCAAAGGTGTTTTTAAAGTATCCTGATGCATGCTCAATAATCCAGGTAGAAAAATCCAAAAAAGTTCAATCTGGTCCTCTGGACATTTAAAAAAAAAAAAAAGCAATAAAATATAGAAACGTTTCGTCTCTCATCCGAGAGACTTCCTCAGTCTGAGGTGCTGTATTCCGCTCAGTCTCTTAAATAGCACCTTCTCAGAGTGGATCAACCAGTTTGCTGCTGACAACCAAAACCAGCTGCACACATGGTCAAGAAGGACCATCAGCCTAACAATGGATCATTAGCACACTGATGGCTGTTTACTATTCACAGGGGGTTGAGTGATACTAGCAATAACAGCAGTGTAAGAGGGGGACAGTTGAACCCGGAGGCCTCCACCCCTGTTTAATGGACAATTTCTTTTCACAAAGATGGCCTTCTTTACTCCTCTCTCAAACCATTGGTCCTCTCTGTCCAGGATGTGAACATCTTCATCCCTGAAAGAGTGACCGCTGGCCTGAAGATGAGTGTAGACCGCAGAATCCTGGCCTGATGATGTTGATCTTCTGTGCTGGGCCATCCTTTTGGCCAGTGGCTGTTTTGTTTACCCGATGTAAGACTGATCACAGCCCTCCTGACACTTGTTGGATTTGATATCTTTTATATCTTTTTATATCTTTTGACAAGCCTTGACATTTCTTTGAAGATGTGAAATGATGCATTTTCTACAAGATGTGTGGGTGTATAATCATACACTAATTACTTCATGTTATATATAATCTCACAAGTGCTAAGGATAATCATACAAGTTCACATTTGATATAATTCTGAGGGAAACAGAGACAGGTAAGACACTTATTCGTGCAGCAGGAAACGATCCTTCTTTGTTCTCTGAGTAAAGCAGCTGAGAGTGAGGGCCCATCAATGTGACACACTGCTCACATGTTGATTAAACATAAATAATGCTAAATCACAACATTCATATACTTTATACTTAACACATGTTGAATATATATGCTTTCACATTAATAATAGTTCAGACACACAGAAAACGTGTTTTAAAGCTTTACACAGACGAGAGCCAGAGTAAGTGTCCTGCGTTCCAAAACAAAGCTCTTAAATCAACCCTTATCAGTAGAAGAATGAGCCAAAAGCTGTCTGTGGCATTTGAAGGTTGCCATGGAGGTAAGATATGCTCCTGAGTGGCTGAACATGGTGTCACCCGGACTATCAAAAGGTTTTGACATCCAATCACAAGTCTGTCTGAACCCGAAAGGGTGGGACATGACAAA